GTTCTCACGCTCCCCAGCTCTCCCGTAAGTTAGCGCAAGCAAGGCCCGGATGGCGTGTTCCCTTCCCACCATTCTTCCCCTGCCCCCTGGCTATGATTTGCTCGGCGCACGAAGGTGATTTGAACAGTCTAGATTGTCAAGGAGACAGCGGCACTGTTGCTGGTAACTGCAGTCAGGCCAGCTTGTCTCCTGGCAAAAAAGAGGGGGAAGGAATTAATTTAGCGGCGCGCCCGGGAACTGTGGACGCTGCTGGCTTTTTGGTGGAAAGTCTCTTACATCGTCACCCATTAACACAGCTCCCATCCTTTTTTATACCGCGGACCGGCACGCCCCGTCAAAAACTTCCAGCAGACTGTCACGCACACAATTGCATATTCATGGTGGTGATTAATGATGTGCATATTTACATATTCACTGGTCATTAGTTTTCAGCAGTCAGGTGTTATTTTACATTGCATCTGTGCACACACAGTACTGGGCAGTGTAACAGGTTTTGTTGATTATTATCCCCCCATAAGTAGTATTCAAGAATTGCACAACAGAACCAAAAGAGGGACGGTGCGTTCTTGTCAGAAACCCTCACTGGTGGGGCAGGATGGGGCAGGGGGCTCTCAGCCGGGGAAGAATGAACGACAGGGATGGATGTGCGACGGCTTCGGGGATGCTGGGCTGGGGGAGTCGTGTGACCTTTAGCCGAGGAATAAAGACGGCGAACTCTTGAGCTGCGATGCCGAGACACCGGGCAGCTCTGTACAAAATGCAGGTGTAGGGACAATGCAAAGAGACGTTCCGTGGGTGCCAGAATCAAGGATGTGACTTGCTTTTGGGACCCCTTGAACCCTGCGGACCTGGCCGTTGTGACGTGACTCGGCTGGACCAGAGACACGGTGCTCCCGTTCCGGCGCCGACTCTCGAGGGGCCGTAGACACCAGCTGTTCCGGGCGAAACGGTGGTTTGGGCTGAAGGCGCGGCGCAGTCTACGGCCCCCGCTGCAGAGCGATGTGGATGTTTAGGGGAGGCGATGTCCCGCCTGGCAGACCTTTGGCAGCTGTCTCATCCAGAGGACGGATTGGAGCAGCCGCCACAGGCCCTGCGGTTTTGGGGGGCCCCCCGAGCTGTCCTATGGACGGGAGGGGCCCTGGGTGTGACAGGGGCCTGGTGTGGCAGCAGCAGAATTCACCTCCCCTCCACGCTCACCACACGGGCGGTGGGACCTGGAGCTGCAAAGTGGGGGGGCGGGGAAGGTGACCCCTGCTGCCGCCTGCCCCCTAGTCACCCGGGCCGTGTGGCTGGGGCAGGGGTATGGCCTGTGGAGGGTTGTCTTGGGAGCATGGGGGGTGCCCCCCTGGGGCCGACCCTGACCTTTGCATGCCCGGGGAGAAGGCTGCCCTGGAGGGTCGCAGAAGCCCTGAGGACAGCCCGGGGCGGGGGGGGTGCGAGGTGGGGGAGACCAAACTCAAAGGATCTTTGTGTCCCTCTCTGTGCATTCGGGGTGGGGGAGGGGAAGGCGACCAGGTTTAAATGGAAACAGACAGCTGGGCGGCCCCCTTCCTCTGGAGAGGAGCGTGGTCAGCTGACCCCTCCTCCCTGCCCCACAGCTCCCCCCACGCCCCTCGGGCTCCGTTAGTAACGCCAACAGGGAATGCTCCTTACAGGAGGAGCAGGCTGCTGCCCCGTGGAACGCCAGGCCCTGCCTCCCGTTGGTACCTGGGCTGCAGGCCGGCCCGTCTCTCGCAAGGTGCCACGTGGCCGCTGAGACGTGGGGCACGGAATCCGAGCGAACCCGCAGGCTACCGACGGGGCGGGACGGCGGCTGGGATGCTCAGAAGCGCTCGGGCGTCCCGCTGACTGGGCCGCCTCGTGCTACAGGAATGCAAACAAGTGCCAAAAGTCCCGGTTCCCTAGGGTGGCAGGAGCCTCACGCCCAGGTGGTTTGGGTGCCCGAGGCCCTTGCAGTTGGGCATTTTTGAAAATGCTTAGCCTTCGTCTTTCACGGACTTTCCGACACGACGGTGAAACGCGGCTGATCCGAGTGCCGGTTGGTTTGCAGCAAGCTCTCTGGCCTGCAGCCTCTCTCCCCCACTGCAAAGCACAGCCCCTGGGGCCGAGCCGCCTCGCAGGCCGCTGGCGGGAGCCGTCCAGGGTGGGGGCTTTTCTCCACAAACCTCACCGGGCGCCCGACAGGGCGAGGTGCGGGAAGCGCCCGCCGAGAGGCATTGCCCCCTGTGGGTGCCGACGCGGGGAGCCCCGGGGCGAGCTGGCCGCGTTACTCGCTGTGCAGCTGGTGCTGCTCGCATGGCTCTTGGGAACGCCAGCGGAGGGACGCGTGGGAGAGTTTCGCCCTGAAGGGCGGGGGCCCGTTAGCTGGCGGGGAACGTCTGGACGCACAAGTTGTCTTCTCCCACTCGCGTTGCCCCGACAACGGCTGGTTCCTTCTCTGACGCCCGTCGGGGCGCGTTCCGCAGAGCGTCCGGGGCGCCGGGAGACGGCGTTTTTCTTTGAACTCGCTCGACTCTTACTGCAAACCTCTGAGCGTCGACGTCTACTCTTCCTCATTGGCCGTTTCCCTTACGCAGCGGCAATCACCATCCACGCCAGCACACTGCGCTGTCGGGCCTGCCATCGGGGGACGGGAGCAGGGAGTCCAAAGGGCCCGGGGCTTCTGGGGTGGCAGCTGGAGCACCATGGGGACGGGGGTGGCGCTGCGCACTGCCTCATCCCCACACCGTCCCCCTGAGGTTCTGCCCCTTCTCCCCGCCTTGCCCAGGGCCCTGCCAAGTCTGTCAGCCCCCTGCTCTTTCTGTAGAGACACCCTGGCTATGTGCCCTGTAGCCTGAAGCCTTGACCACGATGCTCGCCGGGCCCGCTGTGTGCTGTGCTGGTTCTGCGCAGGCAGCCTCCTCTGCAGAGTCTGGGGGAGCCCCCAGAGATCGCACAATCAGATCCGGGACGAAGGCCCCGGGCCGGGTTTATTGTCAGCAAAGCGCAGCAATAGCTGCAGGGGTCAGAGGACTCCAGCCCCATGAAGAACGTGGTCGAATCTCCACAGCCCCCTCGGCTGCTCGAGGGCAACCCCCTTCTGACACGTTTTTATACTCGACTGCGGACACGTTCCACGTCACGCCAGACAGAGCAGGGCGCTACCCTCGGACGGACTCAGCTACCGCTCGCTAACGCTATCGGGCGTCCCGAGCTCGGGTCCGGTTGTCCGTGGGGAGTGTGCTGGCACCGACATGGCTCCTCACGAGGCGTCCTGGTGCCCCCCTCTGGGATGCGTTTATGGCCGGGGCCTCTTACCTCTGAGGTCTGAGTGTTCCTGCAACATCAGCCCGGTTTGTGCCATGTTCTGTGAGCAGGGCCGGCCTCTTGCTCGTGGCTTCACTTGGCTTTATGTTAGCAAAGTCTTGGCTGTTGGTCTCAAACCAGGCCTGTGCTTATGTCATAGGCCCTCATCTTCCTCCGCATGCATGTGTGTCCGTGTTAGAACGAACACAGGCAGGAGACTGCCACAGGACAGCTCGTGGGCGTTAACGTTGCAGGCGAACCCAGCCGCCGCTCCGCGACAGACAGGCAAGAGAGGGAATACAAGAGTTGGTGTTGCCAACTCGCATCTACCGAATGCAAGTTTCAGGATATGTGGTGTGTTTCTGTAAGGCCCAGCTGCCCGAGTCATGGCATTTATGTGGAATGCTCCGCTTTAATGGAACACAAGCAAGTCTCGGGCCTTCGTGGCGACACAGCCACGCTTGAGAACGCAGAAGGGAAGAGGAGAAGGGAAGCTGCGGCAGACAGAAGCCTGGCGCTCTTCCTGCGTCACCTAATTTTAACACCTTGTTTCTGTCGTGCTAACGGCGTAAGACCCAGTCTTTCCTTGGAGCTGAATCCACACCAGGTGCAATTCCATTGGCGGGGGGGTGGCCTGCGTGCTCACGACCTCAGACCACTCGAACAGGCAGCGGGTTGCTTGGACAGCGCGCTTGCTTCCTCCGCGGCCCTCGTGGGATCGCTGACTCATTTTAAAGCTGCACAGAGAGAGCAAAATGTGTCCCTGACGAGGACCCTGGACTTCTAATTCTAAGTTCTGCTGGGAATTACAATGAGGTTCCCACTCTGTCTGCTTGGACAGTATTTCTGAGCTCTCGGCCCGCCTCCCAGCTCTACCCCTCTGGGTGCAGAAGCGGGGAAAAGAGAGAGGGGATTTGTGAGTCATCCCGTGTACGCCTTCCTTACCGGCCCCTGCCGGCGGTGTGGCTCCCGCTCCGGGGGAGCAGACAAAGCCGAGGGCACGCCTGGCTTTCCAGCAAAGACGAGAGCTGGTGGCATTTCCCACAGCTAGAGGTCGTCCCCGTGCGCTACACTTAGCACGGACACTGCAAACTGCCGCTCCCGAGTTCGGTGCCAGCGGCGCCGCCACGGCGAGTGTAGCCGTGAGCCTTCGTGGGCGTCACTCGCGTAAGGACCAGCAGACACTGAGTCCTGCCGCCGGCGCGGCAGATTTCCATGATCTCTGCGGTCCAGGTCCCTCCCAGGCCTGTTTCTGTTGTTGGATGGGCCGAGTTTCAAACTGGTTCCAGCCTCCCTGCTTTCTGTCTGTCAGAGCATGAATCTTCCCGGTTTGGGCGCTGGGTGCAGCCTTCGTGGGCGTCACTCGCGTAAGGACCAGCAGACACTGAGTCCTGCCGCCGGCGCGGCAGATTTCCATGATCTCTGCGGTCCAGGTCCCTCCCAGGCCTGTTTCTGTTGTTGGATGGGCCGAGTTTCAAACTGGTTCCAGCCTCCCTGCTTTCTGTCTGTCAGAGCATGAATCTTCCCGGTTTGGGCGCTGGGTGCAGGCTCTGGACTGGAGCGGGGGATTGGGGGGCATGATGGGGGCAGGCTCTGGGAAGGGGTTTGGGTGCAGGAGGGGCGAGGGGTGGCGCTCTAGGGGCCTTGGTGCAGCTCAGGGTCTGGAGTGCAGGCTCTGTGACGGAAGGTGGGGCAGATGGGCGTCTAGCCTGGGTAGGGGCGGGCAGTCTGGGTGCAGGCTCTGGAGGGGGCGGGGTGCCACACATGGGGGTACCCCCTGTGGCTATGGCTACTGGGGGAGCAGGGGTGGCAAGCAGCATGGACAGGCCAGGCTGTGCCTCTTGCAAGAGTCCGTGAGCCCCCCCCCAGCCGCTTGCCACCCCCAGCTCAGGTAGGCAGATCCTCTTGGGGGGGCTGCGCCGCCCAGTGCTAAGGCTGCGCCATCTGCTTTGGGGCAGGGGGAGCCATGGGCAGCCCCACTGGCACCCTGGGGTGGGGGGTGTCACTGACCAACACTCTGGACCTGGAGGCCTGTGGGCAGTCCGGGGTTGGGGCAGCTCTCTGGGGGGCGGGGTCCCAGGCGGGAGGGCCAGGCTGGGGGCTCGCCTCCGGTCACTTGACTCAGACTCTGCTCCTACTCCCCGTAACCCCACCCTGACTCCCTGACCCCAGCCGCCCAGTTCCAGGGCTCTCGGCCAATTCCCGGGCTGGGCCGCCCTTCTGCCGACGGCGCCTCCCTCGTGGCCTGGCCAGGAACCCAAACTGGCTTTGAGCTTGAAGGGGCCACACGGGTTTGTGGCGAACCCTCGATCTGGGATGTGGAAAACAAATGTAACAAACTGCGAGATTGAACTGGGAAGCGTGGCAGCTGTGGGAGGGGCCGAGGAACCGGTTTTGAACCCATCGTGAGATTTGTTGATAGTGCATTCTCCAGCCTGCACAATTACAATCTGCTGGTGAAATATCACACTTAGCAAAACAGCATTGTCCGGCTTGCGAATGTTAACGGTGAATTCTCACAGCCCCCGGGAGACTGGGATATCCCCACCAGAGAACACTAGGACTGGAGGGGCCTCGAGTCCAGTCCCCTGCCCCCATGGCAGGACCCAGCCCTGTCTAGACCAGGGGTTCTCAACCTTTTTTGGTCCCCAGACCCCCTTGGCTTTCAGTAACCCTTCCCCTACCCCCTATTCAATAGGAAAGGAAATAAATTCTAGACTCTGGAGTCCACAACTTTTTTTCACTAACACTACGACTTTTGGAATATTTCAATTAGGATCATCTAGTTATTTACCAGTTATTCCCTGTCCCCTCTTGACAAGCTTTGTGTACCCCAGGCTGGGAACCCCTGGTCTAGACCATCCCTGATAGCCATTTATCTCACCTGCTCTTAAATATCTCCAGAGATGGGGATTCCACAACCTCCCTGGGCAATTTATCCCAGTGTTTGACTAACCTGACAGGTAGGAAGTTTTTCCTAATGTCCAACCTAAACCTCCCTTGCTGCAGTTTAAGCCCATTGCTGCTTGTTCTATCCTCAGAGGCCAAGATGAACAAGTTTTCTCCCCCCTCCTTGTGACACCCTTTTAGATTCCTGAAAATGACTATCATGTCCCCCCTCAGTCTTCTCTCTTCTAAACTAAACAAGCCCAGTTCTTTCAGTCTTCCCTCATAGCTCATGTTCTCTAGACTTTTTGTTGTTCTTCTCTGGACTTTCTCCAATTTCACCAAACCTTTCCTGAAATGTGGCTCCCAGAACTGGTCACAATACTCCAGCTGAAGTTTAATCAGCACAGAGTAAAGTGGAAGAATGACTTCTTGTGTCCTTCTTATAACTCTCCTGTTAATGCATCCCAGAATGATGTTTGCTTTTTTACAACAGCATCACCCTGTTGATTCATATTTAGCTTGTGGTTCACTCTGACCCCAAGATCCCTTTCTGCAGGGCTCCTTCCTAGACAGTCGCTTCCCATTCTGTGTGTGTGTGAAAGGGATTGGTCCTTCCTAAGTGGAGCACTTGGCAATTGTCATTATTAAACTTCATCCTGTTTACCTCTGACCATTCATCCTCAGGTCACGAAGATGGAGAAGCGAAGGTCCATCTCTTCAACAGGGCCATTCATTCTGACTAGCTCCGGCTTTGTGTAACTAACCTAATACCGTGTAAGCCTGATTTTTCTGAACCCCAGAACTGCAAGACGGGCTCAACCCCAAGCTCCATCTTGTCCCATCCACCACCTTTGCCAGCAACCAGCGTTAGAGCGTCAAAGGCAGGTGTGAGAACCGTGCGGTGAAATAGTCGCCCCTCTGCATTAGGCTCCCTATGAATCAGCAGCAGCAGCTGTTTCAAACAGGGATAGCTCAGTGGTTTGAGCCTTAGCCTGCTAAACCCAGAGCTGTGAGTTCAGCCCTTGAGGGGGCTATTTAGGGACCTGGGGCAAATCTGTGAGTGCAGGGGACAGGACCTGATGACTCCTCAAGGTCCCTTCCAGCTCTGTGAGAGAGGTATCGCTCCATATAGTATAAACCCAAAACGTGAGAGTGAATGGCCCTTCTGTGATGCTGTGTAGTCTTGTCCATATCTGTGTCCAATCCCCTTTCGAAACAGCCGAGATTCTTGGCCTTTGTGACTTCCTCTGGCACGATTCCACTGCTTGATTGTGATTTTTTTTCTGTTTCTGTGCTTGCCGCCTACTACTGAGCAGTGACAGCTCTGAGTAAAGGGGGGGAGACACCTTGAAAAGTCAGGCCTCCTCTCAAGTTGGGCACCCCAAAATTGAAGCACTTAAAACAGACCCCGATCCTGCTATTCATTGTGCCCTCAGAGCCCCGTCACTTCCTAGATTCTTAGGGCTCGACAGTACTGGGACGATCCTCTAGTCTGAGCCTCCTAACCCTGGCCAAAAAACTGGGCTGTGTCTGCATCTAGTCTACGGCTTATTAGAGAGAGTAAAGCTCTTAGAAAGACACCCTGTCTTGGATTAGTCAGAGAGTTTAAGGCCAGAAGGGCCTATTAGATGGTTCAATCTGATCTCCCCATTCACCCCGTTATCTCGTGTCTGGCTACAGTATGTGCTTTGGAAGCTTGTCCCAGCAGTGAATCTCCCCCGTTGTTCAAACACATGTTGCCTGATTTCTGACTGCGTTCCAACGACTAGTCACCGTCATTGTTACAAAGGCACGTGCCCTTTCCAGGCTGCGTGTGCCTGGCCTCCGTGTCCCAGCGCTGGCTCTCACGGCTCTCGGAGACGGATCCTCCCCCGGGCAGTGCGTGGCGGTGAACGTCGTTAGCCCGTTGCGGGCAGGGCTGGTTCCCAGGGCATCAGTGATCCAGGTGGTTCTGTCCCGACCTCGTTCCCATGTTTCAGTCTCCTTGGACGTATGGATGCTGGCACCGGGCATAATATTCTCAAAATGGTCTCACTTGGGTCTAAACCCAATTTACCATAGGGCCAGTGCTGCGTCCTCCGCTCTCCGGCGGGGCGTCTCTGTGCATCCCCCTTGTGCATCACTGAGCCTCACCTGCCAGCCCCCCCCGTGCTGTCCCGACCTCGTTCCCATGTTTCAGTCTCCTTGGACGTATGGATGCTGGCACCGGGCATAATATTCTCAAAATGGTCTCACTTGGGTCTAAACCCAATTTACCATAGGGCCAGTGCTGCGTCCTCCGCTCTCCGGCGGGGCGTCTCTGTGCATCCCCCTTGTGCATCACTGAGCCTCACCTGCCAGCCCCCCCCGTGCACCCCCAGCCCCTGCCTGCCACGGCTGAGCGGCTTCATGCCCCCGGGGGCCCTGTGCCACTAACAGCTATAAAATAATACAGTAGCATGAGTAGTGTTCATGTGTATCCCTGCCCCCTTCTGGGTGGAATTGGAAATGGTCAGTTGTTCACAGCGTCTTTATTGCTAATACAGAAGATGGACAAGTGTACCTCCAGTGTTAGGGTCCTGGACTTTTGGGAGCACGATCTTCCTTTTCTCCCTGGTGCTGCCAAGTGGGAAATGCTGAGCAGTCAGAATGTGGAGTACAGCAACCTGTGTGACGTTCTAGGTGGCCACAGATTTGTTAGTGGTATGATTACTAACAGAAAGTGAGTTATTCAGATTTTGCAATTGAGTTGTGAGCAGCCTTGTGAATGCTGTGAACTGTGCCTTGCTGCTCACAGGGATGAGATCAGCGGCTTAGTTCAGTCACAGTAATCAAGGAACTGTCTTGATTGAAATAAGAGGAAGGCAGGCACTGTGTGGGATAGTTCGGGAACCAGGCAGAGAACTTCTCTGCAATGTTCCCTCTAATTTTTTCCATCCATGTGCAGAATAAATTTTATTTTATTACGTGCACTGAGGCATGCACATATGTGCACCGCCAATAGAAACACAGGCTGCTGGCTATGGTTGTTCTGCCAGTCAGCTGGGTGGCACCTAAATCTCTCCAATGATTGGCTGCCTGAGTGCTCAGCTTACAGGGAACGCTGCTGCTCGGGCCATGGGTTTGAGACCCCTGGTGCCATGGAGAGAGCTAGTACCACCTCCTTATTCCTAGTTTATTTCTTAGCTACTGCCTCACACTGGCAGCCAAAGCTCAGTTGGTTTCACTCTCCACCATGAACCCTAAGCCCTCCTCTGAGTTGCTGCTTTTCAGAGCACACACCCATGTCTTACAAGCACAACCCTCGTTCTTACTTGGCAGCCGTGCGCGCTTTGCTGTCTTCATTGTAAAGGTGTCACTCCGACTGCAAGAGAGGAAAGCGGCTTTGAATGACAGTCAAAGAATTCCTGCCAACTGCAGCCTAGAAAAATGAAGCCCGATTCCCCCCACAGATATCTTCCCTGAATCTGTAAATCCCCATTTGCATCATCCCCGTCTTTATTTATTCCTGCCACTGGGCAGTGCAAGAGAAGGGAGCGGGGGTGGGGGGTAGGGGGAGCACGTCCACATTGCAAGCTGAGGTGTGATTACCGCATGGCTAGACATACCCAAGCTAATTTAGCTGCAGTAGCATGCAGGGCCGTCCTTACCCATATGCAGAATACAAATTTGGGGCACCCCTGGGTCTTAACGTCCACTCGCCTGCCTCTTCCTATCCCAGTTCTGCGGCTCCGCATCCTTCGGGGAGGATCTAGCTGACTTCAAAGTGACATGGCCTGCCAAGCCACGAGCAGCACCTGACCCTGGGACGGAGCCACGCCGGCAGGAATGAAGCCTCTACTATCCGTTTCTGAATTCACCGTGGTACTCGACAGGACCTGAGTTTACAATTGGCTGTAAGGTATTGCACCGCGGTGTCGCTGGAGACGAGCAAATCGCAGCTCTAAAAAACTGCCCCCGTCGGACACAGAGGCACCAGTTTAATGGTACTGTGTAGGGCCCCTAAATCCTACGGACAGCCCTGGCAGCATGTCTAAAAATAGCAACAGGGGTTTCAGTGCAAGACAAGCACAGCCGGGACCCTGAGTCCACACACAGCCCATGCCAGTGTGTTTAGACTGTCATGGATGTGTCTACCCATGCTGTAATCACACAGCTGTGTTGTCACTTGCTGAGATTCTGGGTTCTAGTGTCCGCTCTGCCACCAACCAGCTGACTGGCCTTGGGCACATTGCTGCCTCGCTGCCTCAGTTTACACCTCCGCCACGTGTTTTGTAGATGGAAAGCATCACATGAAGGTATCTGTGTTAATGCTGCATTGCTTCTGCTAGACACTATTAGCATTCAAACTCCATGTTGGTGGTGAAAGACAGAGGAGGGGAAAAAATCAATAAGCAATAAACATGTGGGGCTGACTGTTGCTCTACATGAATTTCCTACCAACAGCACCTCTCTGGCACCAGCGACTAGCAGGCAAGAAAATGCAAATCATTCCCCCTCAGTCTGCCGCTTTCCCTGATTTATGCTCATTTAATACAAGTAGGATTTACAGATTTTCCTCTTGTTTTTACCCGGAGCAAGCACTCAATTTCTTTTTGCAGAATAACAAAAGAAAATCATCTTTGGTGTGTAACAAGAGAAATCAATTGTCCGCTTTGCTGCAGTGACAATTAATTTTTTGGGGGGGAGAGTAATAATACAGCATTCTGAGCATGTACTGCTGTAAAGCTCAATTAATAATGTGCATGTTAATTGAAGCTTAATAATATCAATGCTTCTCAAGGAATGAACGTGAGGAGGAGAAGCCTGAATAAGTCATTTATGCCTGTATAAGAGCAGTCTCTTAAGGTGGAACACTCAAGCTGCAGGGTGGAATAAGCAAGGTCTAGGCATCGGCCACCCTGGGCTGAGAGGCAGACAACTGTTCAACTAGCTGGCACAGAATGAATAAAGAGCACTCATATTTACAGATGCGTTCTTTAGTTAATAGCAGCCATCCCTCAGGGATCCAGCAGGCATTCTGAATTTGATAGGGGGGTCCCTTCACCCACCACTGAAAAGCAGGCACTGCCCCACCCCAGCCTGCCAATAAAATGGCCCCTTTTGTAACTTTGTCCTTTGTACTGTGTGTAGAGCAGTTGAGAAGGGAGACTTCGGAAAGCGGAGAGACAAGCCCAATGTCCACACCCCCAGTGGGGGAGAGAGAAACGCGCCCTTAAGAAATACGGCTGATTTTTAGATTGAAGTTGCGCTACTCTCAGGATTCATTTCAACCACATTATAAATCCATGCTTAATCTTGGCCATTTTATGTAAGAATGGAGAGGCCTAAGCGGAGAGAGCTAAAAGCCTCACAAGTGTCCACTGTTCAGTGGCCTCACTCTTCGGCAAGAGGGGAGGAGCGGTGAAAGAAAGGAAATAAGGAGAAGCAGTAGCAGCGGGAAAGACGTCCGGAGACAATATCCCCTTTCTGAACAAAATACACCTGTGATTCAGCTGTCCTCTCCTCAAAGCTGGTCCCCTGCCTCCCTCTCCCGCCCCCGCCATTTCTCATGGCCTCTTTTCCCTCCTTTCTGTTCAGATCACTCCTCTCTGCTTCCCTTTCCCACTGTGCTGCTCCAAAGGGGAGGCATGGCAGTGGTAGGAAGGGTTGTTTGTGCTCCTTCTGTTCCAAGAGCCATAGCTGACAATGCCCACGAGGTGTAGCAAAATCACCCCAGCAGCCACGTCAATCCACGCTTCCGCTCCATTCCCAACCCTCACGTGGCCGGAGGCAGAACTCCCTTTCTTTCCATCCGCCATGACCGCCAACACGTGGGCCTCCACCCGTAAGGGCCCTAGAAGCCCAGCAGCCTTTATGGGACTCCACTGAGGCACTGCTGCCCGTTTCCCTCACTTCCAGCTCACTGTACATGCATTCAAATGACACTGTAGCGTGCTACATAAACAGCGGTCACTCTTAAATGCTCACGTTTCCCACAAAGAGGTTACATTCCGAAAGCTTTTGCCATGGAAAGGCCTAGGCGTGGTGTGTGTGTGTGTGTGTGGGGGGGCATTGTTCAGATGTGTGTGTTTGTTCCAGATTCCTACTCCGGGCAAGGAATCCACGTGGCTGGGCACTCATTTAAAAAAACAAAACAAAACTAGATGGCAAGAGACATGAGAAAATGGAGACCAGGAAAATCCATCCTACCACCTACCCTGACATGAATTTTTGCTTCTAAGAGCTTAAAATTGAGCTCAGGGGACAGATTTTTCATGGTGCTCAGCTTCCAGGTGTCAGCTAGTATAGGTTACAGGAGCCCCTTGGGGCTGGGCAGAGAATCAGGGGCCACAACTAGCCCCCAACACCATATGTTAACTGTAACAGAGAAGATAGGCCTAGATTTTGTGGGAGAGGGAAACTGTCTCTATTTTGTCACCGGCACATGCAACTTACTCCACTGATCACATTTCCACTGAGAAATTTGTTGACATGAAGGATCTAACCCCTTTGGAGGTACCACTATTTCCTCTGACTCTGTTAGCTCTCGCATACTAACAGTGTCAGGATAGGGCAATAGTTGGATTTCTCCTCTAAATAAGTGCCATGTTGCGGCAAAGACTACATTTAGATGACTCCTACAGTTTAGAAGCCGGCCACCAACACTGGCCATGTTTACGTCTTCTGGCCCATTATGCAGATCTAAATTCCCCTGAAGTTTCAACTATATATATATATATATAGGGTTTCTTATGTCCTGCCCTAAACTATTATGTGGAATTTTGGCATGTTGCTAAACAGAGGCTACATTCTGCCCCAGATGTAGTTGGAAGCATTCCTATGTACCTTGCAAAATGTGGGGCTGCTTAGTGTATATTTATAAAGTGCTTTGAGAGCCTTGGAAGAGAGGGTCTGCAGAAGGCCACCGGATTTTTTAGGCGAGGACACACCGTTTTTTGACTGTCACATTACTTAGTGTGCTGAGATAGCCCCTCTCACAGGATGCTGCAAATAACGAGTGGATGACTGGAAAGGGAAGAGACAAGGCATCACTATGGCATTTTTCATACTGAAAAAGAATGGGACAGATCAAGAGAATCCCAGATGTTAATGCTGGCAAAGATCTGTTAGATTATCTAATCCATCTGTTCTACTGTTCATTTCACTTGATAACTGCCCAGTTTTGTTCATTCCTTCTGAAGCATCTGGTACTGGCGCTGTTTGAAGACAGGATACTGGATTAGAAGGGCCATTGATCTGACCCAGTATGCCCATTCTTATCCAAGATCTCTCCTTAAAAGGTCTCTTTTCAAAGATTTGGTCCAATCCCAAACAATAGAGCTTCCATAATTCCTCAAGGGATCATTCCACAGTCCACCACATTTCCTTCCCAGGGAACGCTCCAAGAGTTTCGTCCTAAAGTTCTCATTGCTTCATTCATCCCATTCCTGC